TTTTTTTTTTTTTTTTTTTTTTTAATAGCAGCAATACAGTTTATATTTAATGTCAATTTATTTGATGTTACACAATTTTTTAGGGTGTGTACCTCGACAACGAGAACGTAAATGAAGAAAACGACAATTCGGTTGAACACATTTTCCGAAACCAGCTCCATTATAAAATTTACAAGTAGGACCAGAATCTTGCTTAATATCATCACTACCTAAAGCTTGACGAAAAGAAACTTTCGATGATGTTGAAAATGGAAAATAATCGTGATTTTCCGATAACATTTTTCCGATTAAATCATCTCGATTGAGTATTTTTTTACAAAAAGATGTGGAGTGGTCTGGACTTCGGCATAAATCACAAACAATTGGTCGTAATCCAGAGAAGACATTAAAATAAATATCGTGGTCTCGTTTGGACCAATCAATCAAAATGTTACGTGTTTGCAAGAGAGTTTCAGCTTTTTGAGCAAATAAACGATGGTAATGATAGAAAAAAGGATGGCCGAACCGAGAAGATAAACGAATTATATCACACAAATAAGCTGTTAATTCACGACGTCGTAGAGGAAAAACTTCACAAATGATATTTAAATAACGTGTAAAAGCTAATATAAATTCAAGAATAGTAAGGTTTTTATCTAAACGAGGATCATCCTTTTGTTTAAGATAAACATTTTTGTCTTCATCATCATCATCATTACGACTATATTTTTTGTTGTCTCGAGGAAGAAGAAGACGAACCAAATTAACATTATAACCTTCAATAATAGCTTTTCTTAAACCTTTCGGAACAGTTTCAAGATCACTGTCTCCTCGTACAGATAGACCACTACGTCCAGAATGTAAGTTCTCTTCAGCTGTTGGAGCCGAAAACAATGTAAACGGCTTACCAGAATTGTTGTTAATGTTATTTGTTATTGCAGCTTGATGAGAACATTCGGTTGATATTTTTGGTTGACGAGCAATAATATGGTCTCCTTCATCATCTTGTGTATCGGCTGGAGTCATTGTGTTATAATTAATATTAACATCATCAATTTGATGTGTATCATCATCGGAAGAATCATCAGCCGATGCAGCATCTTGATTATGATGAACTTTAGTCATTGCAGATGCAATTGTAAGTTTATTCTTCTTTTTCTTTTGTTCATCGATAATATTAGTTTCATATAACAGACGTAATACATCAGTTTTTATACTAGTTGGAATTAATATGCCTATTTCAGCTAATGAATCAATAAGATGTTTACGAGACATCTTTGCAACTTGATTATTGTTTGTTATTTTTGAGGTGTTTGGTTTTGTATGCTTCTGTTTTACAACAGCATTATTAGATACTCGCTTTGAAAATTTAGATTTTTTCTTGGATTGCACAATGATGTTGGACTGTGGCATTGTAAACGGATTCAAATTGAAAAGTTAACTTGAATAAATGTTGAAGTTTTAACAAATTAAACAGGATTATATGAATAGCTTTCACTGAATTAGAGCACGAGAAGATGATAATGAATAACTTAGCTACACATGATAATGAACTTCCAGCTGAAACGAGCGCTATATATTGAATAATAGAACAGATAATTAAAAAAAAA